GTGTGCTGTCATAAACCAAGCGACAGCTGGTGCCGGAGGTGCTGTGCCCAGGTCTCAAGGATCCTTGGGGGTCACCTGGAGAGCCAGGCAGGGAATGGCCTTTGAGGAAGGGACACAGCATATGGCAGGTGCAGCCCCGTGCACCCCACAGGAGTGGCCAGCGTGGCTGGATGGAGGCAGCAGCTGGAGAGGGTGCAGGTCAGAATCATTCCAGCCTGAGACGGGGAGCAGGGCAAAGAGCAGAGAAGGGATCTGGGCGTCAGTCACCGATGACACGGCAGTGGGAGGCCGGGTGTGCGGAGATGGCTCTGCCTGAGCTGAGGGATGGACCAAGAGGCGCTCAGAGGGTTTCACGGCACTGGTCACAAGGGTGGGGGGACCTGGATGAGGTGGCAGAGACAGAGAGAGTGAGAAAACTCAGAAGATATTTATTGGTGATACATACTGGGACTCACAGGGGCTGGGACAGAGCTTGGGGTCAGGCCCTGCCTGGCACACACTGGGCCCTGGGTTCGATCCCTAGCACTACAGAAACAACTGCAGCCAGTTGGACTTCCTGGAGGGTGGGTGGAGGGAGGCTCTGAGTGACTGCACTCGGAGGTCCAGGGCCTTTTCCTTCAGAGTTTCAGTGAGGTCAGGTGACTGCAGCAGCTCCCTGAGCTCAGGGACTCATCTGCACGCAGCTGGATATGAATTCAGGTCCAGCCACAAAGCTGGACTTTATTCCCAGGGAGACCATCTCTCCAGAGAGCAAGTTGGACCCAACCAAGGAGACTCTGGGAAAATGGTCGGTGCCCTCTGGGGTACAAACTGTGGTTCTGGTGCTTTCGTGAAGGAAAATGAGCCTGTCACCTGGATGTCTTCTGGTGCTTCTGCCCCCACACCTCTGGGCTGTGACTCAGGTCTGGAGGAGGTGCTGGGGTCAGCCACTTGGTTCCAATCTCTCCAAATCCCAAAGTGAGAGATGTGGAAGACCCCGCCAGCAACACAGACACAGGGGAGCTCTGTTTGAAGGTAACCGTCATCAGTTTGTCCCCACGGCTCTCAGATGACAAAGGGACCAGGACACACAGGCAGAAGCTGCACAAGGAGGGTGGGGTTGGGGCGGCCTGAGTTGGGGAGACCAGCAGAAAGCAGAACAGCCAGGGGACAGGGAGGGGCCTGGCCAGAGGCAGATGTGCTTGGGGCAGGCCCGGCCCACTCGCTGGTGAGTGGGAGCAAGGTGGGGCCCCAAGAGGGCTGGGGCAGGAGTCCCCAGTGGGTTCTCCAGCCCGGGCTCCAGTGTCCCTCCCAGGCAGAGCCATACACAGGGGGAGCTGGGGAGAGGAGCAGGGCCGGCCACCAGGAAGTGCGTAAGGGGAGGAGCGGAGACTCTGCTGCAAATGCTGCCCGCTAATAAGGGGCAGAACCAGTGACCTCAAGCACCCCAAAGTGTGCAGTAATCTTGGCGAGGAGCAGTGCAGGGCAGCGCGACAGGGAGGTGCTCACTGTCCAGCTCGATACCCGAGGTCCTGCAGGTGAACTGCAGGGAAAACGGCTGGGATGTGGGAGCTCCTGGGGAGCATTTCTGTGTGCACTGGAGTCGCCAAGGCTGCTCACTGGGCTGCAGAAGGAGGCGGGAACCCCACGGAAGGGGTCGAGTTGTGGTTAAATCCAGGGGACAGCCGTGATGTGGATGAATTCCGAGGAGAGGGCAAACCCAGTTCCTGCCAGCCTTGGGGAGGCCACCTCGCAATGGCCCACAGCCCTTGGTGCTCGATCCCTGTGGTTTCTACATCCATATTTTATGTGTAATGCAAGAGGTGATGCAACTTACTTCCACTGGCTTCGGTTTATTCTGAAACATGAAAGGAGCACCTGGAGAGGCGTGCTGTCCTCCTTGAGAGTAAGGCACGCAAGTGTGGCTCCTGCTTTCTGAGTGTCCAGAAAAGCTGTTCCAGCGGCAAATCAACACATGACTCACCTTGCGAGTTAGATGACCCCACCCCTGTGAAGGGCCGGCGTCCTCCTGGCCCTCTCCCACTGTGGTCAGCTGCTGGGCCCAAATAACGGAGCCCTGGGTAGAAACCGCTCCATGGTTACCTGACCCCCAGGGCTGAGGAGGGAGCGTGACCCTGGTGGATGCCAGGGCGGACTCAGGTGAGAAGAGTCCCTCGGTGTCACAGGTCCTGTCGGCAGAGCAAGGGGCCAAGGATGGAGAGGGCAGCAGTGTCCGTGGAGTGAGAAGATGTTTGCTTCACTGTCGAGTGTTTCCACAGCTGTCCACTTGCAGAGGAGGCTGCAGGAAACCTGCCCTCCTTCTTCAAAGAAGCCAGGGGCGTGAAAGCCCCACGATGGGCCCAAAGCAGGAAGCAGAACAAAGCCCAGCATCACTCGGTTCTGCCAAAAGGCAGTGGCAGGTTCTCAGGATTGTGAGCTAAGCCATTCCCGGGACAGTCATGAAGAAAGCACCTGCCCCTCCCGGCCGATCCACGGCTCATGACCACCCAGGGGCTGTCAGTGGAGTAGGAAGCCTGTGCCAGAGATACAGCATTTTTCCAGTGTGCCAGGAAATATTAACCTCTGAGGACAAGGCAGGCAAAGGCGGCTGTGAAACACTGCTGTGGACAGCAGATGGCCGGGCCAGGCAGTGTCGCCCCTAAGTATGATTGCACGGTGGCCACTTCCCCAGCCACCGCGTGACCTCGGACACAGAAGTAAATAAAAAAGGTTTGTTCTTCTAGTGGAAAAATGGAAGACATCGGGCTACTGATCTTGTGGCATTTGTTGGCAGAATCATTATCAAAGTAGCAGGCCACTTCTCAAGGGAAATCAAGTCAGACGTACCCAGGAGGGGCAAGACACACCATGGTGCAGGGCATTCAAAGAAAAGCACACCTTTTCTGTGTGTTGAATACATAGCTTTAGTAGACTGTAGTTGAAAATATGCAGGAAAGTCTCAACTTTCATCTAATAATAGATCCCGCACTGTGTCTAGTGGCTTTCTTTGGAGAAGGTAAAGTTGACTTATTCGTTAGTTCCCCCATCTACTCAAGGAACACTTTGCAGCACTGACGGTCATCATGTGTTTTTCAGTGCTATGTGCTCCAGGTCCCCTCAACTCTTAAGTGTCAGCACTGTCCTCCAGGAAGCCCCCCACCTAGCCCCAGGGACCATGCAGGGACAGATGGGAAATCCCTCTCCTCCAGGGACTGAGGGATGAAGGCTGTCGGGGTGGAAGAGGCCCCTGGTCCCTGTGAGCAGTGAGCCGCAGCCCTGAAAACCCCGCATCCTTCCCGTGTCTGTCCACTTTGGCCTTCTCTCTGCATCGTCAGCTCAGCCCCTCCACCCAGGAGTCAGCTAGACCTCTTTAATAGAGTCCAGGTGGTGCAAATGTCCAGTGAAGTTTAAATTCCCCCACCCTCTTCCTCACTTCTGCCCAGGTAGAACCAAGTTCTCGCGGCTGCTGTTGGCCGGGCTGCCTCTCCCTGAGGAGGCTGTGTAAATTCCAAGACTTCATGGCTCTGAGTGGGAATCTGCTTCCCTGAAGTCTCTAGAGCATAAAGAACACACAGGGCCAGGCAGCGTCGGCCCCTACCTACCAAATTCAGAAGGCAGGCCATCTCCGGCTTAGGCACCTCCGAACTTTCCACTGTGTCTGGTGGTGAATATTCAGTCCCACTGACCTATGTGATTTGGAGACTTGATGGTGCCAGGACAACTATTCCTATACATTTCTGCAAAAACACCAAGTCAGATGAGGGTGGAGCCCTCCTGGAGGCCACAGTGGAGCCGTTATGTGCCCCTTGGTGTGCTGTGAGCATCCCTGTTTCTGAAACTCACATGGCCACAAGGGTTTGGAGAAGAAATTGTGGATCTGTACTGCCAAGCAGGGTGGCAAAGCTGACAGACATAAGATAGATGGAGGTTTCATGTTCTTCCTGCACACCCAGGTCCTACCCTGTGTGTCAGAATTCGAAACTCTGGAGCCCAAAGTCCACTGGGAGAAATTGCTGACAAAGATCAGTTTGGGCACAATGTATGTGTCGCATCAGAAGGGGAAATCTTCGAGCATATCCTGCTCTTTCTGTCCAAATGGAGCCGTCCCCTTGCCCCCTTGAGAAATCAGTGACCATGGCAGCCCCAGCCACTGGATCCCCTTTGAGGTGCCGTCCTTTCCCATGGGTGCCAAACGGTTCCCAAGTGAGAACTGACCCAGCAGAAAGCCTTGTCCACATCTCTGTTTGAACCATGTTTGCAGGTCAGGCCCAGGGCCACGTCAGGGCAGACGGGCACTCCAAGACACCTAGCCAGGGCGCGGCTGCAGGGACGGAAGGGCTCTGTGCCATCCGCGTGACGGCTCACAAACTCCCTCCACAGGGGAGGAAATATCCGGGGAACGGGGAAGGGGCCCTGCTGACACCCACTGTGACGCCGCTGGGGACGGGGTGCAGTCTGGCTCCAGAGTCAGCGCCTCGGTTCTCTCTAACCTGTGCCTCCTGTGCGTCCTGACTGCTGGGCTCTGGGTCTTCTGGAAGTAACCGCAACCTGCAGTGCGAGTGAGGGGCAAACAGGCCGTCCTAGCCTTGCAGGGCGTGGGTTGGGGGAAGTGTGGGCGGCCCCAGGGCCAGCAGCCCCATGGCTCTGACCTTCCCTGAGTGGGACTCTTTCTCTTCACCTCATGGCCTGTCCAGAGAGCCGGAGGGAAATGCTACAGGGGCACACGGTGGAGGCCAGAGAGCCAGCCATGCCTCCAGCCTCACATGCCACCCATGGGAAGTACCAGGGACGGGTGTGCTTGCTTGTGGGAGGGCCCTCCACCTGGGCAGCATCTCCGCCATCCTCTGACACCAGCTCTGCCCCCAAGCGCGTGGCAGGCAGCCTGATGGCGTTTGTGCTGTGAAACTGTGAACATCTCAGGCACGCGGCCCCACATCGCGGCAGCCTTTCAATACCGGCCCCTCATCCAGCCACCCAGCCAGCCAGAACCCTACAACACAAACCCCAGACCACCGAAACGAAACACTCGGAAGACTGGACTTGAATCCTGCCCTGGCTGGGCCACTGGGCTTCGCCTTTTGGACGCCTCTGCCGGTCAGCCTGCTCGTCGGTGTGGCACAGAGAACGCAGAGCTTGTGTGCGCAAAGCTGTTCGTGTATCATTAGGGCTTCCACGTGCAGAATTAACGAGTTCCAGTGAGCCATAGCAAGTTTTAAGTCTAGGGGGATTTGGACGTCTGAAGAGATCTTTTCCCGTTCAAAGGGGCAAGATGGATGTTGAAGATTTCTGAGACAAGCCAGAGGAAGGCAGTGAATAAACCCAACTGTCAACCTGGGAGAATAAGAGAAAAGAGCAAAAATAAATCTTGTGTTCTCATGCGCCAGTTAATCTTCATTGTCAGCTTGAGTGATGACGAGATTCCTGGAGAGGAAGGGATCACAGGACACTGTATTCCCCGGAGGGTGGATCATTAGTGCTCCCAGCTGGGTGTGCTGTCAGCAGACGGCGCCTGCGTGGAGGAAGGGCTGGGGAGCACCGTAGGTGGGTACGTCTCTCCACAGCGCTGCCCGGACCTGCTGCCAGGCCATGCAGTACCCGGCTTGGCTCCACCATCCCATTCTGCCATGGCGCTTCTTCTTGGAAGCAAACCAGCCATGGACTGAGATATCTGAAACCACAAAGCAAACAGATCATTGTGAGCAACAGACATTTGGTTCCAGGAAAGGGAAAGCTGGCTAACACAGACCCAAATACGAGGTGATTTACCAAATGGGTACTCATATGCCTTCTCCAGTGTTTTTCTGCTTCTGGCCTTGACTTTCACCTTAAAAATACATTAGAAAGAAAGCAACTTAAATGTGGGGCAACAGAAGAAAGAAAATAATTAAAATTAGAGCAGCGAACAATGAGATTCACTTTGCATGTCCACCACAGAACTGAATTCAAAATCAGCTTAGTGCTACGGTATAGAGCTTGGAATCATATCCATCAGTAAAATGATTCTTGCCATGTTGTTCAAGGGAGACGCAAAAGCAAGTGTGGACTGCCTGACCAAGGACGAGAAAGTGCAGGTTCGGAGCACAGACCCAGCCCAGCTGCCGGGTATCGGCCCCAACAGGGCCACGTTTCTCCTCTCTGCTGGGGCTCTTGGGAGGAGTTGCTCTGTAGCATCAGCCTGTGGAAACCCACAGCCAACTTCTTCCCTGTTCTTTACTTTCTTTGTCCCCACTGTAATGATCAGACAAGAACAACAGACCCCAGGTTTGCTTTCAGTAACGCGTCATGGCTGCTGTCAGTCCTCCGATACTCTCAAACTCTGCGATCCTTCTCTCCTTCTCCTGCCCACTCTTGGACTGAGAACCTCAGAAATGAAAACCCGGGAAAGGAAGACTCATGAACGACAGCTCTCTGCATGGAATGACCGAGCACACTTCTGGAGAGCACAAACACAGAGCGAGCGTAACTCTCTGCTCCCCTGGGCGCCCTGCGGTGGACTCCCACCAAGGTCCCCAGCAAACTCTCTCTGGTCCCGCCTACCTCCCTGCTGCTGTCCTGGGCAGTGGCAAAGCAAAGACAGCTTTGATCCGCGTGAGAGAGGCGTGACCATTGACCCCACTTTGCTGAAGAAGAGACCAAACCCTAGAAAAGCAAGCTGAGCCACGTAAGTGTAAGAACTCAAACAGATTCCCTGGCTTCACGCGGCTCTGCTTGGCCCGTAGGTTTTGAGCAGAGTATGCTCTGCCTGTGAATCTCTCTTCCCTAAAGTCTGCATAGCACACACCCCATCTCTCAGTCAACGGATGTTCATTGCAACCTGCAATGTTTCATTTGACAAAAAATGTTCCATAAAATTCTGTTTACTTTCTTGGGGAGCTGCTGTGCCATCTCCTCCCTGGTGACCACATGATTACACTCCCACCGGAGGGTGCAGGTTCCATCTTATCCGCATCCTTGGCTTTGTACCCGCTGTCCTGGAGGGTGTGGCGGGTCACAGTGTCCTCAGTGCTCGGTGACACTGGGCCTCTCTCCACACGATCATTGACGGTTGTCTAGCTTTTGGAGAAATGTCTATTTGAGTCATTTGCCTATTTAAAATTTGGTTTCTTTATTGAATTCTACAGTTCTTTATATATTCTGCACTTTAATCTTTTATCCGATGTAAGCCTGCAAGTCTTTTCTCACATTTCGTGGACTGCTTCTTCACTCGATAGATCTTTTCCTTGAATGCATGAATGTTTTTAATTTGATTAAGTCCAACATATCTGTTTCTGGTTTGTCACCTGTGATTTTGTAGAATGCAGTGACTTCCTAGTGGATTTATACTGGGAAGATGAGTGAGGGAGGAATAATTTCCTTGTCAGAATATAGAGCAAACGCAAGTGTTACATCAGTCACCCGCGCTATGAAAGGTGCCAGTGTGGGGCATCCAGAGGTCCTGGGCTCTATCCCTGGCCTGGAAAATGAATAAATAAAGATAAAAAATAGTAAATACAAGGTGCCTTAGTCATCTATCCTGGGCTTTGTTCATGGCTGCCTCGCAAGGCCCCGTCAGTCCCTCTCCCTCTCTCCTCTCTCTCTCTCCCCCTCCCACCTCTCTCTCCTCTCTCTCTCTCTCTCTCTCTCTCTCTCTCT